GCGGCTACTTAGGCCTTTACTTCAGCACCTGAAGAAATTTTAACAAGGATCGGAGCCATAAGTGAAAACTCATTCATTTTATCGAAGCTATTACCTATAAATATCAGTCAATATTATTGAGATTTTAAAAGAATACTTTAGATGGCTAAACAAATTTAATTAATTTATTATTAACAACAATTTGAATTAAATGACACATATAAGCGTAAAACTTGTAATAGCAGAATTAGATTTTTTTTAAACACTTTTCTCTGTGTACAGCTTCTTGTAATGCCAATCTGTCAGTATGTGTGTGTGTTTGCACGTGTCAACAGCTTGGCAAAATGTCCAGCACTGCGTATACGCAATGTGCCGGGTAGTTGCTTGTATGTATTTAAGCCTAAATTATTAACCGAACGGCAGCAGGAGCAAACAATATTGCTTTGCCATAAACGAGCACTTGAAACTAACACACACGCACGCCAAGTACAAACACAAGCACGGGTACACGCACACACTTACAGCCGCACTAATACAGATCCAAAATGGGTCGCAGCGGCAATTTCATGAGTCATTTAACCGAGTTGTACGAGGCGAGCAGCTGAAAAGAAACGAGAGGCAGCAGGGAAGGATCGATGGATGTTTGGATGTTTTTCGGACTGCCGTTGTCGTATGCCACATGATTATGTTTATGAAAGTGGCCGTGTGTGTGCGTGGGTGTGTGTTATTGGACATTCATGCCATTGAAGTGCGCACAAAAACATAAACACGAAATCGAAAAAAATAAAAACTTGCAGCGGATACGAGTGGCCAGTCTGGGTTATCCCTTACAGAAATGATGGCACTGAAATAAAATTCGGGATCGTTTAAAGGCCTGACTTTTGAATAAATATTATAGAAATAAAAATTAATAAAAATTTATTAGTTAAAAAATAAAAAGGAAAGTAATTTTGTAGCATATTCTAAAATATAAACTGAATAATTAAATAATTTGGGTACATTTTTGTCAGTGCATTTGTTGGTGATTGTGTGCTCATAAATACAAACAAGAGGCACAATAAGAAGGGGATGGGGATGTTGGGGAAACGGAAACACGCAACATTCACATCCGCATTTGCCTTTAATCCGAACCTCATTTCGACATGGCTGCTGAATCGAGAGAGATGCAGGGGAGATGTGGAAGTTCGGGTTCCCAGGACTGACCCAAAAGTGCGGAAATTAAAACATATGTATTTATAGCCGCACACTTGGTCCGTAGTATCTCGTATCAGTATCTCTAAATTTAAGTCTAACTGCAGCAAGTAGTAGGTGGGGAAAAACAAGAAGAGAGCTCTCTTGCCTCTAGCTTAAAAGTGACCCTTATTCGGGGCGAAACCTTTACAGCAGAAAAAACAACAACTGTGCCAACAAAATATGCATCTGTGTGGAGGGTGAATAGCACAATAACTCGGCAGAACGTTTACTATTCTTAGGGCGTTGAAACTTAGAATGAAGAATTAAAATTTTATAAAATAAAACCTCGTTCAATTTTAAATTTTTTACAAAATATTTTTCGAATTTACTTTGAAATACTTACAACTGAGTGTTACACTTACCTTGCCGCATTACTGTGATCAAGTTGGTCCACCTCTCGAAAGCCTTATGCTATTGGACTTCGAAAAATACACCAAAGGGTATTGTTCAAGGATTGCACTAGAAAATACGAGAAAACCAAGTGGAAGCCCAAGTACAGGCCTGGTGATACTAAGTCCCCCCTTCTGTACGAGTTGTTGCCGGCAATAATCCGCTTTGCCACGCCCCCAAACCTGAAGGCGGCCAAGAAGAAGCAGCAGCTGCTAAACGGTCAGAGTTAAGTGCTTTGCTTGTAAAGTTTAAGCTAGTGAATTTTGTACAAAAAATTAAAAAACGGAAGATAGGATAGGAAAACCAAACATCTCGAAGGAGGATTAGTTTTTTATTTAATATTTATTTAATAATTTTTTTAACATATAAACAAATTTAAAAGTTTACGCAAGTTAACTGATGTTTTCTTTCTTTCTTTAGTTTTGTCTTTAGCCGCTAACTTGCGAGGCACTTTAACTCCTCGACTGCTAATCCGAAAAACAGCTTAACGCGTTAAGTATACTACGTGTTGGACCAATGACCGCTACAAAGCGTATTTAGTTCTTTGTGCGAGTGCTGGTGCGGTTCCTGCTGTATAATTTCATTTTAATACGAGGAGGAATTCTCTAGCTCTTCTTTTTTGCCCGCTCTTTGCAGGGCTGCAACTGCTGGTAAAACTTTTAATTTAATTATAGTTCCATTTGTGGGCAGTGCACATATGCAGGGTGAAGGGTTCAAGGGAGATAGAACAGAAACGCATAAGACTTTGCGGATTATGGGCCGTAATAAATGTCCGTACAAACGCAAGCAACTGGGCACAAGCCTTTGTATTTATATTTATGCACATTTTCCCACAGAGGGGCACTTAAGCCAATAAGAGTTGAACTTTGCAGCTTTTCAGTGGTGCAATGAGGTCCAAAATTTATACAGAAATGATCGAAAATAAATGTTTTCCTACACTCGATGCCATTTTAATTTTAAAATCACAAAATTGCAACAGATTAATTCAATTAAGTTTCTTTTATTTTAAACTAGGGGAGCTATTATTTTTACTCCAACTGTATTTGACTGCAACTTCTCCCCATGCACATATATTTTAATGCTGATTATCTTGGGGCTGCCCAGCTGGGCGAGAAATCTAATAAAATACTTTCGGTGTGGGCAGATTGTGTTTTTTGGCCGATGCAGATGGAAATCGGAGGAGCCCACAGCTTGGCCTTAATTAAGCAAAGGCCTGGCCCGAATCAATCTGTTGAGTGATGGACTTTATGGCACAGGCCCAGGGGCATACGTATTTATGGCAAATTAAATAAACCGCACGGAACCCGGCCATTTATTAACGCACGGATTTTCCCAGCCGCCTTGTCATTGATTTATCGCGATCGGGTGCTGTAACAATTCAATAACTTTTCGGCGGAAAAAAGCCGCAAATAACTGAGAATGCTAAAGAGAAACGAACAGAGTGAAAGACTATATATCTGGGGCCCGCGCGAAATGTATTACGACCATAAACTGCAGCAGGCCCGACAGCCAAACAACCAACAACCAGTTTACATCCATATGTGTCAGCTGGGTTTTTCTCGTTCGGGCCAGGCCAATTGACCGACTGACTGATGGCCGAACACTCCTCGCTGAGTGGGGAGCCCTTATCTGCCATATGAAAAGCTTTTCGCTTTCGCTTGTATTAACATATGGATTTTTTGTTGGGAAACTGGCTGGAAAATAAGCTAGCGAAACTGCATTTACGTAACCATCAACAATACTCACCACATTTTATAGAAACGTAATATATTATGGTCAAAGTAAAATATTTATCTAATTAGGATCCAAATATTTCTGTTTCCTAGCAACAGTCATTTCAAGTGAACTATAAGTAATTTTACACCATACAGCCCTCACAACTTTGGAAATTCCTGTGATGAGAACGATATAATCTAATTATTTTCGCCAATTCCGCAATGACCGATCAGTAATTTCAATCCTGGCCCAACCAATCAAACAATCCCCATCTGTTTGCTGGATTCAATGTTCGCTCGCTCCCGAAATCCAACTTCCAAAAGCGGACGAATAGTAATCCCACACAAAACCCAATATGCTAGACCGCATTCCATCGGTGCGACTGGCGCAGGATTCACACATTGCGCAACATCCATAAACAGGCTATTAACACCTATGGCACCGTACAACTGCTGCATTATAATGCGGGCGTGCCACGCCCACTTGCAGTGACATGCCACACAAACACCCATACCGATACCCACACCTACACCACCGAATGCAATTGCATTTTGCAGTTGCAGCACTTGAAAGTGCCAAATTACACATGGATGAGGAACTTGCGGAAAAGCGGTGACTACGGGTAGTGGGAAAGTCATGCATACGGGAGAGGAAATTATAGGACTGGACATAATAAATGAAACATTATGATGTTGTCGTCGTCGTTGTGCTGCTGCTGATGCCACTTGACACGGCGACAACAGCGGCAGCCACAAACAAGGATACTGTGAAAAAATGTGACTGATATTCCGAATTTGTTTAATAAAACTAATATCCGCTATACTTATTTTATTTTGGGATGTATTAAAATCAGATTCCAAAAATTTGTAAAACCTGTTTTATATCTGATTTAACCTTAAATACACAATAATTTAATATTTATCTAGTTATCTAGTTGTTAAATTTAATATATTTTAGATAAATATTTTTAGGAACTTAAAAAAGAATTTATAATTTTTATTTTTTGCAAGCTCTATAGACATAAAACAATAAAAGTTTTTTGCTTATTACCCACTTGTCCTTGAGTGGTTTTTCCATCCAGTCCGGCCCACTGTCCACCCGTCCACAGCAACTCCCCTCGCTTTTCCGCGAAACTTTTCGTCAATAAAATATGTGTATGTAGCATACTTTGCAGCACCGCAGGTCGTAGGAAATGAGGGAAGTGGAGGGAGAACATATTGATTTTCCATCAGCGCGCGCTCTACTGTTTAACTATGTGCTAATATTTATTAAAAACGAGCGACGTAAGGCCACACGTAACGTAATGGCACGTTATGGGGTAAGGGCTCTAAATTGTGGCGAAAAAGGGGAAAAACGCCAGGCTAACCCAGTAAATGTGTGTGTAATGTGCTGCAAGGACTCGGCATTCATTATGCCTCCCTTCGGGATGGCCTACATGTCGTATGATTAATCCCATTTCATTATATTATCGCTTATGCCACTTCTTACCCCTGGTAGCTTCCTTTGTACGGGCATGAAAAATGGGTTTTGCCCTTGTTTTGTTTGCATTTAGTTGTGGACTAGCCGGGATTTGTTTCACTTTTACTTACGCATAATTTATTACACATTTGTTGGGCCATTAACTCGCCCATCCATCGCCTGACCATTAAAACAACTCAATTAACAGTTGACATAATATGCTTTAGTTTTCTTTAGTTTACTTTTTTCAGTTTTTCCTTTTATTTCCAGTTTTCTCATTCATTCATTCGTTTTTTGCACATTTTAAATTCTTACACTTTAAAAGATTTCTGTTTACTTCACTTTCGTTTCCCGTTCCTCCCTTCGGTTTATCGTATTTCTGTGTGGCTCATATTTAATTGAAGGTTACTTTCATGTTACGTTTTCGTTTAGCTTTAATAACATTGTTGATTCAGTTTTTCGGTTTCAGTGTTAAATAAACTAGGTTTCTTTAATGTATATATATATAGCTTTTCTTTATATCATAATTTTATAAATACACATTTACATATACAATATTTACTTCAGTTTTATGCGGTCTTTTAGTTTTTATTTCTTAAACTTAGAGAATCTGTCACCATCTGAAATGTCTGATGAATTTGGAAATTTAGATAGAATTCTATTGGGCAAAGTGATTTGGAAACACCTTGAATACTTCACATAACACAAACGAATATTCAATATTGTGTGTGCATTTGATCGACGACAGTTGACAACATTTCTGCAATAAATATCGAATAACCATAAAACGCCTCATCAAACACAATGGGAAGTCTAATTTGAATTCGCTTTTTTCCGTTTCTGTAGCCTGCACAATTTAAATAGAAATTACTCGCATGAAATTTCATATGAATGGAATTGGAATGTGTATATGTATGCTTTGTTGATATTTTACATGGTAATTGAAAAAAGCTTAGGAAAAACCTGTCGGGATTTGGTTTGGTTTAGCATCTGAATACTCATGCTGTATTTCAATAGTGTTTTGTCTGTTATCATTGTTTAGTTTAGTTTTTATTTTTGCTTACTGCTTAGCTTGATTAATGAAACTTTTTCCTTTACTTTAATTTCTATCAATAGTTTTTTTTTTTTGTTTTTCTGTAACGTTTGGATTTATTTTGCTTTTTATGTATTCGGTTAGCTCTATGTGCTCTATGGCAAAGTTGGGTGTGATGACAGAAATAAGCCAGACAAAAGCCCAAACCAAAGTGGGAATCGGAAATGGAAAACAACCGTTGAAATGGATGGAAAATACACTTTTGACGCGTCAGAATAATCATAGAAATTCAACATTGTAGTTAGACGTAAAATACCTTTTACCCAGGGCTCTTTTGAATATTTCTTAATGTCTTTCGTTCTTAACACTTGACTAATTTTCGTTCGCATTGAGTAACAACAAATAAATTTATGAAATGTGCAACAATTTTCCGTCTATGCCGATTGTATCCTAAATTCAAACCGTTCCCTCTGCACGTTGGGTAATACTTACGTTTATTTAATTTGTACATTACACAAGAACGAAACGAAACAACTTATTCGAGGGTTTCTCTTTTCAAATATTTTATGACTTATTTTCTAACCATTCAGATGCAGCCAAAAGAAAAATTCTCCCCTCAACGAGCTCTGCTTTTCGTCGCTTTTTATGTTTTGCTTTAACTTGTAGCTAAATTTCCCCCTTTGGGTTTAAGTTTCTTTTATATTTTACACATTTTTTTTTCGCTTTAATTTCTAGGATTCTTTTTCGTTTTCTCTATAGCCTGTACTTGAAGTTGAATGTTTTTAGTTTGCGTTTTGCTAATTGCCTTTCGGTTGAACATTTATCTGTCTATTAGGATTTCGCAAAATGCAAATGAGAATTTCTCTCCGCCTTCGAGGGAGCAAAACAGTCGCAAAGTGGCAGTCGAGAAGCGCTTCCTGTTCTGGTATTTGCTAGAAAATATTTTCCTCTTGCTTTTTATTCTTCGGTTTAATGCAGTGTTGGGCAGCTTTGTAAAGGGATACTTCTGCTAATTTTTCGGCTATAAAAGTTACAAAGGTCGGAAAGAGTCGATCGAAAAAAGCGCCTCTAGGTGTGCTATGCAGCCTATTTACACAATTTCCAATTTCTAAGGGAACCAAGGACTTAGATAGCTTCATTGTATGATACAAAGTCGTACATAAAAAAGGCGACAACTTGGCTTGATTTCGGTTTTAACTATAGTTAGGTATATAATATCATTACGTTTTCTTTTCTTTTTTCTGTTTTGTGCTAAATATTACGTATACGTCGCTGATTCATAGAAAAACGCAATAGCCAATAGAGTTATGTTGTATGTATACGTTATAGTTATTATAGTTACAGCTTACGGTTGAGTTTAGAGTGGCCTTGAGGAGGTTGATGGGCGGTGAGCTCACCTTATGTCCGCCTCGAAAAGTTGCCTACACGTTGCCGCCTCCGTTGGTGATTGTAGTTTCAGTTGCTGCCGGCGATGTTGCTGTTGCGTACTTTTCCAATGCCAGCGGCAACACCATCGCCATCGCCACCTTAGAATCCTCGCAAGGAAGTGCCGCATGTCGCCGACGAGGGGCGACGTCGATCCCGAAGATCCAGGACGCTTTCCATTCCGCTGGGCGGAGCGGACGGGCGGGGGCGTGGCCAGAGCGGCGCCCAGCAGCGCAGCGATCCACCGGCAAGCGCCCAGCTGCAGAAGCACACAAACAGGTACACAAACAGACAGCGAGTGGGCGAGGGGCGAGGATGCACTGGTGCCGCGTGCTGCATTGCTGCTGGGAACTCCCCTGGAAACGGAATGGGAAACACCTGTTTAATTTACATCTTTATTGCTGTCCTCATACTCAGACATTGGGGGAACTGAAAAGTCGTTAAGTAGTTTGTTTTGTGGGTGAGTCTGTGACTGTGGGTGAGTGTGAGTTTGCACGGTGGGAAAATATTACCAAAATTGGCGATTTTCCAAATTAAAAATGTAGTTGTTTTGTCTGCTATTTATTAAATTTTTAAAAATATTTTCTTAGGTTAATTTTTTATTCCTGACTTTCCTCATTGATTCGGATATTCAATTACAAAATATATACATTTTTATCTGAAAGTCTGTTGTAATTTTTTTCTCTGCATCTTTCAAATACCCTCGCAGATCCCCTTTGAATGTGGAAAGGGTTCCTTCATTTCATTTCGATCCCTCGACTTAACGCCACATAATCCCCCAACTCTAACCGGATTACCAGCGCCCACAAAAAGGGCAGTGGGTGGTGGCCCCCGAAAAGCTGTCAAACAATAAAACTGCACAGATAAACCGAAAGCACAAAACAATACTTGGATTGTCACAAAAGTCAAAACAACAAGCAGCCAAATAAAACTAACAAAAAGAATCCTTTACTCTGCGGCTCGGAATAAAGCAACATCAAACAAGCAAACAAACTAGTGAAACCGTCGACTGTTTACAACTTACTTACAACAGGGGCAGGAACAAAAGCAGCAAATGCACCTGTAACTTGCAGCTCGAGTTGGCAAACTGAAAGGGGGAATCAACACTGCGAAAGACTTGGCCCCCGGAATTGTAAACACCGCTTACTTGGGTCATTGAAAAAGGTGTATTGCTACTAATTACATTCAAAATTAAAATACTTCTTAAAATAGAGAATTTTAAATAGAAATAAAGCACATATTATAAAGATATTAGGAAATATATTTTACAAATAAATAGTAAACCAAACATTAAAAATCTGCAATACTTGTCTGAGCATCTATAACAAATATTCTTGAATAAAATTAAATGGATTCCATAAAAACTCCATTTACTCACCCCCCACAAAACTGCGGCCACTCGTAAGCCTTTTCTTTTTAATGGAATCCTTTATTTCCATCAGCAAACTGAAGATATCAAAAAACTTTTTGCTTCCCCCTAATAACTTTTGATTCTTCCGAAGTATAAAAACAATTTTTATGCACTGCAGCTGCCAAGGATCGGATCGCAGTGGAACGGAAGTTCCAACTTGCACTTTAAGTCCTCCGTCCCTGGGCAGAAACTGAAAGCCTGAGTAGTCGGAGGACCTGCAAGTCTGAAAGTAGGCGGAAAGGACGAACCAGACCGAAAACTCTGACCCCATTGGTGACGCAGTCGCTGGTGATGCGGCAAGCCAAACAAGACAAATATTCCCACGTTTCACATTTTCATATGTGCTGAAGGTACATTACAGGTAACAATGAGCAATAAAAACAAAATAATGCAAAAGGTAAGCACAAGATGGCCGCGGAGCCGTGGGTGTGGAAAACTTTGTGCTGCAACACGATGACAACAAAAGCAGAATGGCAGCAGAAACCGAAACAGAAGCAGAAACAACAATGTTGACGGGCATATAATAATAATAACAAACAAAGCAAAATGTAACGGCAAACAACAATGGTGAAAGTGGCAGAACAAGAGACAAAACATAATAATAATCAGAAACAAGTGTGCCAAAGCAGTTAACGGAAACAACGCGCATTGCATGCGCAATATGCTGACAGGGATGAGTGCCCTTCATGCGGACCCCTAACACTCGGATACAGAGGACAAAAAAGGGAAAACTATTTAGTAATAATTATTTTGAGAAAAAGGAAATAGTGTTTTTAAATCTCTGAAAATTATGCTAACAAATAATTCAATTTTTAGTTAATTTAAATACTGAAAAAGCATTTTTTAAAACAATAAAATAAATAAAATTCGATCAGCTATTCAAAATTTGCCCTCTTAAAATCACATTTAATAACAGAAGCGTAATAAATATTTTTGAACATTTTTTTACACTTAAAATATGACTTCTTGCCGCGTAAAATCTCCGAATTTAATTATTTATAATTTTTTCTCCGTGTGTGTATAATTGTGTGTGCTCTGCGAAAAGACAACGCCGTGTGACATTATCTAGCAGACACGGTTGCTGCGACAACGACGACAACTTGACATTAGTGAAAGTCGCAAAGGAAGTAGCGTGCAGCAACTGCTGTTTTAGCTTTTCCAGCTTTTCCTGCTGCTGCTACAGTGAGTTTTTCTAGACAGTCGGTGGGGGCAGGGAAGCGAACGGGGTGGTAGGGGCTCAACATAAACATAATTTTCATGTGGCACGCGTGCCAGATTCACCAGGAGGCCAAGACCCCAAAGTTTGCGAGGCAAGTGCATTTAAATACTCTGCTTTAGTGATAAGTTGGCAAGGGGAAATAAGTAGGTTTCCTTTTCCTTAAATTTAGATGGGAAAATGAATTTGAATAAAAATAAATGAATTTATGATATTTTATTTAATACAACAAAAACAATAAGAATAATAAGTTTATATCGTATATATAAAGTTCTATACTAAGATATATATTTTCCCCTTTTTAGATATATTTATTATGAAAGCACTTTACTTATCAGCTAAAGTCACTAACAAATTGTAACATAAAGCTTATATACCCATCAAAAGTTAGAACATCTTCAGAATTTCAGATTTTACCCCCTGGCTGGATTTGCTCGGCAAACATTGATGGCTTCCAGAGTGGTTGGTTACAGACACGGCAGATGAGGATAAATAGATGGGGGGCTCCGAGGATAATGATTATACAGCTGGTGAAAGGAAAAGGGGAAAGGGACTGTCGCTTCATTCCCTATAATTTTCACGTGCCACTCTTAGCAGTTTTCACTTAGCTGAGCTCTCGTCTGGTTTAGCTGAATGTACGTGGAAATATTGAAATAGACACCTTTCCCTTCCCCACAGCTCCCTTTTCCCCTTCGCATTTTCCGAACCCTATATAAACGAGTCTATTCACTAATCAATATTTGCTCATTGGCTTCCGAATCGATTCCCTTACACTCTTTTGTTGATGTTTTCACTTAGTTTGGCTGAGTTTAAACAACACTTTGTTGGCTAGTTATTGTCACCTCTTCGTTGCTTACTTACTATCCCCCCTTTTTCCTTTTGCTCCTGGCACTTTTTAGCACACTGTTTCGCTGGGTTTTTCTCGCGTTGCCCTGAATCTTTCTTGACTTTCGTGTCACTTCTCAGGCTGCCCGAGGAGCTTTAGCTGCACTTTCTATGGCTGCCTTTGGACAGATTTCAGCCATTGATATGGTGACTCGGGCCTAGTCGTTCGCATTAACTGCTCTAAGGGGATTTGGATCTAGGTTCTATGGCTGAGAAAGAAATTCTTGAGCAACTGACGGTACTTAACTTGGCGGGAATTTGACTTTTTTAAAACGAGCTCAAATTAAGAGCGTATTAGGGGAATCTGCATTTACGCTTACACTACAGTCTTCCTAAAACCTCTTGGTTTTATTTAATGGCTTCTTAAGAACTCAGTAAACAATTGTTTTACAACAAAATCCTGGCTGTATTAAATGACTTCTTATAATACTTCTAAAACCAGTTTAAAATTTGAGCATTTAGGATGTACAATTTCGAAAGTTCCATAAATATTTAATAACATTTTTAATATTGATGTGAGTAATTAATAAATGCAAATTTAACATTTAATTTAATTAAATTTAATTGAAAATCTCCCATAAATATTTAAAGTGCTTCTAAACTGGGGTTTTTACAACCTCACACCACCGAATTAACTTCACCATCTAACGTAAATGTAATTTGAAACCTTTTGTCCGCAACATTAGCTCACTTTGACTCCTACTTTTTTATACGACTGCACTTTCTTTCTTTTTCGGCTGTTACTTTCAACCGCCCCATTCAGGCCATTATTTTTTGTTGTCTGCCAGGCCAAAACTCGTCGTGTAACCCATTAGCATTCCCATTGTGCTATTCACTTTTTGCGCTCTTTCATTTTGCATATTCCCCTTTTTTTCTGGCGAAAGAACCTTTGTTTTATTTTTTGACGTCCTGTGGCTGGATTTGTGTGCGGGTGGGTTGTCGTTGATTTTACTTACCATTGAGCACATGTACCGTGACGCTCTTGGGCTTCGCATTTGATGGATTACACTGATAATGCCCGGAGTCCGACGGACGCGCCGATTTAATTAGGAGGAACGACGTGGTCGTATCGCCCTTGTTGGTGACCACCGAAACGCCTCCTCGCGGCGAATCATAGTTGATAATCTGCGGGTGAGAGGGAAACTTCTGGAGGTTATAAAATATTTCTCTACGCTTCCATCTCGGGGGCCCCACAATTTTCTAAGCCATAAAACCGAGTCCAGATTACGCATACGCACTGTTGCACACTTGGCAAATTAAAATCAGTGGGCGGAGATAAGGCGGAAAGTCCGGAAAATATGCAAAGTAAGGAAAGAGAGATTGCAAATAAAACCGTAGCAAAACAATAAAATTAAATCTGTTCGGGTCACAAGAAGAAAAAAAGAAGAAAAAGGGAGGAACTCCTCGGCACTAATGGCAATATTTTTTCCCTTTCTCGTCGCTGGCTCTATAGAAAATACATAACAATAGAGGTCCGTCAACCCTTAAAGCCCAATACAATAAGCCAAGGGCCAGGGCGTGAAGTGTGAGGAAAACACCTAAAGTGGAAACTAAAACGTGGTTCAGTCCAAACAAAACCGAAATCCATTTAAAGCCCGAGCCAGAACCCTTTTCCCCAAGCTCTGCTCCCCTTCCACTTCTACTTCCTTCCTTAAATGGCATTTGCCAATATAAAAAAACCGAAAGCAGCAAAGTTTTCGCTCGGCAGAGCTAATTTAAAAGTTACTAAATTGAACACTAAGGGGTTCCCAGAGTTTCGTGGGTTATTTTTTCCGGGGTGGGGGAAGCGACAATGACGCCCCAAAGTAATTGCTTGTCCTGGAATGAAATGAAAACGGGTTTCGGGGTTGGGGAACTCAGACTCACAGCGTTATTATGATTCCAGAAGATATAAGCTGGCGGCTCCGGTGAGTTTTGTATGATACAGGTAAGATTTATAGTGGAGCCACTTTCTATATACAAATCGGGTGCCCCGATGATTTCCGTCGAAGGTTCTGAAAAGGAAACAAGGCAATCTTAATTAAAAAGGTGAAAAGAAATTAGGTGCGAATCTAAGTGGAATAAAATAACAATTAGCTAAGAGCAAGATTTCCATTTGGTGCGCTTCAGGAGCAAGAAAAGAAATGAAAGGAAAATCATGTTCATCCTTTTGAAGCCGCGCAATTGAAGCGCACGTAAAGTGAGATGGAAATATTTTGCCTTTACACTTCGCCCTTTTGTTATTTAATTCAATCAGAATTTAACGCGAAAACTTTAACATCTCGAAAGGATGAAAGGTCTATAAATAAAGTGAGTTTAAGTTTACGGCTAACTTTAAAGTGTAAAAGTTAAACCTTAAGTTTACATAGCATAAAGAAACAAAAGTTTTTAAAGCACTTGGATGAATAATTTCAAGCAATACAAAATGTCTGAGAGAAAGTACTTATTGTTTCAACTCTTTTTGTAGTTATACTACCTTTGCATAACATTTTAATTATTTTGTTATTATAAATAGGACATTTTCGTTGAACTGTTTTCTCGACTTACCAACGACATTAAGGTGAATGTAGTGACTCATATGGGGCGTGGTCGATACCTGGCACTCGTAGATGCCGGAATCGCGGTGTTGCGGGTACTTGATTTGCAGCATCCAGTCTTCGGTTTGCGGCTGGTGGATGGCCCGAAAGCGCTGATCCGATGTGTATGTGTACCGGCCAACTGTCAGCAAATGTATGTCCCGATGTCGCACCCACGACACCTGAAGCAGCATCTAAAATGATTTAGAGAACGGGGAAAGTTTGAGCGAGGAACTTAAGATTTCGGATTTCATTTGTTTGGCAAACAGTTTAAAAAGTCAATTTCATAAGCAACTGCTGGAATGAACCGTGCCGAGGGGTTGCCCTTTGTGTCAGGCCCACACGTGTAAAATGCAAATTTATTTCCAAATATTTTATATGATTTTTTCCTCGTGTGCTTGGCAAAGAAAACTTTGAAAGAACAAGAGCAGGGTGAAGTGATTTCTTTGCCAGACAACCTGGTCCAACAAATTCAATGTAACAAGGGCTAACACACATGCCTGTACTGAGAGAAAAACCCCATCAATAGTAATTGATTTTATTCAATTATTTGATGATTTACTAAAATTAATAGCGACTCATCAAGAAATTGTTTGAAATTTTTAGGAAAATAAGTCTGTAAATAAATCTCGTAAAAAAAAAAGTAAATGAAAAATATTTTTCCCAGTGCACCTTAGACCGCGCCTGTTAGGCCTTTGGCAACCACCTGCTGTTTAATGCTCAAGTTTTCCCTGCCCAAGGGCGCAACATTTTTAAGTGACGCTGATTTAGGGGTTGCCTAAGTCACGGGTAGGGGGTGAAAAACTCAAGAGGGGGCAGTGCCGAAAGGTGGGCGGGAAAGAGGCTAGGGAGGTGGAGGCGCAGGACACGCCTGGCTGTGTTGCGTGTCATACGTCAGCTGCGAGAATTTTCAATTTCAATGACAACAGCTTAGCAACATCCTGCCTAACGATGAACGACGACGTCGAGGACGACTTTGCCAAAGTTAATGGACAAGAAACTCTGGGCAGGAAGGAGAAAAAGGAAGGAGCAGCTATGAGCGATGATAGGTGGGCGCCAGGAGGCGGTTCCCGGACCAGGTGTTAGTTGCCAGACAGAAAGGTAAACTTTGGCAGCTGCTTAAGCAAAGTTGCATGTAATTAACACCCAAAGTCCTCGAGCAGTGATACCGAAGGAGTGAGGCCGCAACTTTTACTCACAACCACGCAAATTTCCACTGGTTTTTCCCGCGCCTCCCTCAACTTTTTTATGCGCATTAAGCTTGTTTACAGTATCGTTAAATTTTAAGCATATCAATATTTTCCTTCATTTACTGCTTGCCAAACGAACATCAAAATCTGCGAATTTTCTTTTACTGCTCAATTTGTGAAACCGAGAAAATATGAATAAATTATGTAAAGAAAAGTTGCCAGCCACCTTTAGCGGTAGAATTACTTTCAAGGCGTAAGAAATATCTGTGTTAGTGGAATACAAAAATCGCAAATTAATTTAATTTGCAAAAAATAAATATCTAGAACATTGAATCCTTGAAATGAAGTACCTACATACGAGATTTTTCTGCGTTGAGCCAGTGAAATCTGCTCAAAGGCAGCAAGTACAACATATAAATGATTTTCTATCCCATGTACCTTTCACCTTCCCTTAAATGGTCCGCTTTATATCCTTAGAATTATGGAAAAGCAGCGCATACTTTCAGGCTATGGCTGTGTATGTGTCTGGCATTAAAACATAAAGCTTTCCCCGAGCAAAGCGCAAATGAAAAACGTCATTAATAATGCAGGGACCATCAACATCCGTTCGCTGTTTATCATTATAGACGGTGTGAAGCAAAGAGCACACATACACATACACGCACACGTATACACGAGCATAAAACAGAAGGATTTTTCTTCATCTTTTTTCCTTGGCATTTTCCCATCGCACCAGCTTAATTCTCACCCAGATGCTGCCAAATCTCAGCAGCAATGATGTATTACTTCAGGTGGTGTGGGGAGGGAAAGTTGGGAGCTGTGGGGTGAGGGTTCGGAAAAGTGGGTGGAAAAAAGCGGGCGGAAGTGGGTGGCCTTGGGGTGAGCTTGTGGTTCGCCGCAGAACTGAAAGCTAATTAGATTTTAAGCTGCCACACGAAGGTAATGAATATATTTTACAGGTTGCCTAATGTGTTGGGGTTTTTTTTTTCAAGGCAGCTGATGAGCAAGAAATGGATATTTTCTTAAGCTGTCTGGCGAATAGTATTTTATGGCGGTAAATTAGGCCGAAAGATTATATGATTTAGGTGCTTTTATGCCATTTTTCTACCTATATTTTTTAAATACCATTTTAAACACAGGATAACCTAATTTGAAAGTCTAAAAGTTATACGCACAAAACTCTTTCATTTCCCACCATCAAACTCTTTACTTCGACGAGTTTTCCTCTCATTAATTAACTCCTTCTCCAAGGGACATATGGAGAGGGATCGATGAGGTTATCCCACTTAACACGTCTAATGAAGTTATCCCAGCCAAAGGAGACTGCCCCACATCCTCGAGCAGGAAACTTTCACATCGTCCTACCGCAAGGTGAAAGGCATTCAGCTCGCTCGATTTCCACCCCCAAATTGAGGTCGCCTGCCCCAGCCCCCTCATCCATTTTCCACAATTTAATAATCACGCAAATTAGTTTTCGAAACCGCAACTCAAACAAGCCAGAAACCCGGCTAATCACAGGCTGCCAGAAAGTTTGGTTCGCAATAGGAGCACCACAATGGGAGGTGCATGCTTAGAACGCCTGGAATGCCTAGAATGCCTCGAATGCCGGGACATGTAACATATTATTATCGGAAAAACGGGCAGGGACCTTCTCCGGTCGTCGACGCCGCCGGAAGTGACGGAAACCGAATGACTACGGCCCAAAGGTAAAAGGCTGAGCTCCTGCTAGGCACCCAGGAAAAAAACGAAAAAACAAAATGAAATTCGGGCCTTTTTCTACATTTGAATAGTTGTTCAGGTGGATGAAGGCCTCGACCGGAAGTGGAAGTGGTGGTGCTGGAGATTGTGTTTGTGAAATGTTTGCGGCACTTCCTTCCGCTCACGACGAAAAGTTGAATAAAGTAAAATCTGTTTCCTGTTTCGGGTATAATTAATCATTTTGTTCTTTGGCAAGCGGAACAATTAGCCAGCAGCCCCAGCAACTCCGCCCCCGATTTTGTGGCCCAGTCAACGTGCTAATTAGCCTGCTGGAAAAAAAAAGGAGCCAAACCAAATACACAGTGGGGCAGCAACTCATGCACAGGCACAAATCGCATTTTGATGGCGACGACAAAGGAATTACACGATAATTACAAGAAAATTGTCAAATGATGGCAAACATTTGACTCGTGGCTAATAGAAGTTGGGGAAAAAAGTACAGCCTTCATAGCAGCTTTAAATGAATTTTAACACTTAAATTAAGGTTTTAAAGTGCATTAAAAATGTATGAGAAATAAATAGCACAATAAACTAAATCAAGGATGCAACTCACCGTCTTGTTGCCAAGATTCTTGACCCGGCAGTTCAAATAGGCCGTCTTGCCCAGCAGGGCGGTGACATTCTTGCTGAAGGCCTTGTCGAAGTAGGGACCCGCATTGCGGGCCTCCTCCAGATCGATGCTGTTGCGATGGAAGCCGGATGCCAGCTGGGCCGAGAACGTGTTGCTGCTGGAGCCGGAGCTGCTGGCCTTGTGCAGGCTGCTGCTGGGAATTCCCGTGACGGTGGTCGAGCTGCCCACGGAGCTGCGACTGGCATCGGTTGTCATCGCTCCCGATTCGGAGGCTGGCGCCGAGTTTGAGCCTGATCCGCCAGCTGCCTGGCCATTTTTGCCATTTCCGCTGCTATTGTTGCCGCTTCCGCTTCCGGCGACACCAGTGGGACCAGCTGCCTCGCCCGTTCCAGCGGCCGATCCTCCCACTCCTTCGTTGGGCAGGGCATTATTACTGCTGCTCATATCCTTCGATTTGTACGAGTCACGCTGGGCGGCGTAAACTGTCATAAGGGAAGAAAAATATGGTGGGTTTAGATAAAAAGCTTGAAGATGCATTTTGTTAAAATATTTAAAACAAATTTCCCATATAATAAATATATTATATTCTAGATTTTGTGGTAGAATTACCTCCTCCTAATATATCATATTAAAAGAGCTCTAATTCTCAAAGTAGTTTTTAGTTTGCAAATGTTTCAGATTCAGAAACTATGCCATAAAGTCCTTCAATCGATGGCCATAACAACCGACTGGAAACCCGAATAGGGGAAACCTTGTAACTCGTTTGGGCTGAACTTTTAACTCCCAATACTTTCCACCTTTTGTGGCAACCATTTAGGTAATTAGCGAATTACGCACACACACACACACACCACTGGGAACACACGTTAGCAACTTTTTTTGGGAGGGAAAACAAAGTTTTCGTTCGGTTCGCAGGTAAATCCAACTTTTTGTTCCATCCTCCCCCAATTTTTCCGCATTTTTTGTTTGTTCGCCATTTTCCGTTTATCAAATTTTCATGTTTTTCCCGCACAGCCCTGCGGCAAGTGTGCGAGTTCGTGTGTGTGTGTGTGCCAACTGGTTGTTGTCGTAGTTACGAGCAATTTTTATCCGGCATTTATCCATCACTTAGCTGCGAGGACGCCACTGCGTCTGGGCCAGGAACTGAGCTCCTCCCGCAGAAACCCTCGAATATGGCCGGGTATATTTTGGGGCACTTGATACGCTTATTACGTCGCAGCTAACGTCTTTTTATGACACCCTCCCCAGCAGTTTTATGGACCAAGCCGGCAAGTCTGGCTAGCGACTTTATTAGATTAAACATGTTGTGCACGTTGTGCTGGCCGAAGACCAGACATCGAACAGGCCACCAAACAGAATGTGATGCTTACAGTGACTCGGTCACGGTGATTAGTCACGGAATAAAATATTTGGATTTATTGAAGAAGATTTTTATAAGGTATGTGATTTTTTTTTTGTAAAACTTGTATGTGTTACAAAATTATTAAGAAACTATTCAATTTTAGTTACTCATGTAATTAAGCTTACAAAAATTTTGTAATAGTTAGTCAGATACGCATTCAATATCAGTCTAAGAAGTTTACAAGAAACTATTTCTTGTTGTCCAAGATTTTTAAAACGTTCCATAATAAATCTTTGATAACATACCATAATCCTGGCGAACAAAATCTTGTATTTCGTAAAGTTCTGGTCACGTAATATGCGATTCAGCTCAGCTCATCGCCCATATGCACACATCCCACATGCAAGCCCTTCTTATCGCTCTCTCTCTTTCTCTGGTGTGTTCCTGTCTCTACCCTTGAAACCCCCCCGGTTTACTGCCCAAACTATTAGCCGAGCACCAGCTTTGGCCCGCTGGCCATGTTCCTACCAGATAAGTTGAATATCCTTCATCATCTGCTTCGGCTCCAACTGCTTTAGCTCCGGCTTTCGCTCTTTCCTTCCCTCGGAGGTTTTCCTTCCTCCCACTTTTCCCACACTCCCCTTTTCCCGCTCTGCCATTTTCCCCAAGCCAACTGCTATTGACAGCCAAAGCGTACGGAGCCGTCTGCAGTTTGACTCAGCTCTGGCTTCAATTGGCAGGACCCAAACAATGTTGCTAATAACTTGACTCCACCCATGTTCTGTTGCGTGGGCGCTGTTGGAGCGGGAGGGGCGAAAAGGGGCGGCAACTGGGCCAAACATGATAATAAATAAAACGCCTCTGGCTAGAAATTAAAATAAATTGACTGCCTGGGACAAAAGACCGCACCGTCAACTGTTGGCTGCCAAACATAAATTAGACCACGAGCGAAAATATTTATTTTCTGTTTTTGCTAACTCAATACCCTTGTCAGGGATCACATTTTAATTTAGAGAAGGATAATTATTGGTTAAAAAAAATATTATTAAGTAAACAAAATGGCAAAATAATTTATAAAAAAAATATTTTTGTTATAAATTAATTATTGGAAATTAATTTATATTAGTCCTTTTGTTTTCTTTTTTTATAGATAGTTTGAGGACAGTTACAGTTACATTTTACTTTACATTTTCACGCAAATCTAGAAATATAAATAAAAGCTATACAAAAAAATTGAAAAATTTATTGGCTACTTTTTTTTACATTTTTTTAAGGGTATATAAAACCGCACTTCGTGCTTGTCTCTTAATTTTCGGTTTTATTCTGGGTTTCGTTTCTGTTTTGGCTTAAAAGCGCCCTGCAGGAATCAGAAAGTCATGTACGGAGGTCGCAGTTTCAGTGGCAGTCGCTGTCCTTGCCGTGTTCATGCCTCATGTCCCGGATCCTGAGTCCTGAGTCCCAGGTCCTGAGTCCTAAGTACCGAGTCCCATGTCTTGTGTCCGGGTTTGTTACGTCGACGTCAACGTCAGCAACTTGAGCACAAGTAGACCGCAGGGCATGTTCCTGTTGCTCATCTGTAGCCTCGTCTTTGTCTTGTTCTTGGTCTCCCCTCTCTTTCCACGACCCAACCACCCGTCTCTTTCGCTTGCTGAAATTTTACGCCCGCACAGTTATTATTAATAAGGGAGGGGGAGTGCTGCTGCGGTTGTTGTTGTCAGAAACATTTGAAATGTCAAAACTTTTAGCTCCCTCCTCGTGCACGTGTTACGTGTGCGTTTGTCTCTCCTCTGAGGTGAACTGCCAAAAAAAACGACAGTCACGCTTAAATTTTTAAATTCACTTAAAAAATTAAAAATCATTTGTGAGCCCCACAACGATTTGCAGAGGAATTGTGTATTTAAATATTTAAAGGTTTCCATTTGTCAAGGAGCCTTGGGCATTGTTTGTGTGGCTTTTACCCTGACTCTGGCCAAAAGAAAAAGTTCCTGGGCGCTGTTATTCTTTTTTTTCTTTCTTTAATTTGGAAGGTGATTTTTCTTAGGAATTGCGTGAAGCACTCCTAGGAATCGGCCATGGTAATTTGAGCCGCAGGTTAATATTCTTGGTTAGTCCTGGACAAGCTTCAATGGAAGCGATATAGCTTTTCTCTTTCTGGGAAAAAACTTTGCGGATAACCTGCCGAGTTACAGGTGAACTGGGAATAAGGACAGGTGCTTTTGGATGTATAGAAAACACAAATACCACAATGGTGACAGAACTGAAATATCTTAAATAATTATTTTATAAAGGAAAAACGAACTGCTATATAAGCACTTAAGATAAATTAAAAATATTCATTATATTTCAAATATAACAGCAAATAAATCACTACTGCTGGGAATTGATTTTCTCTCAAAAACGTTGTGAACTTATTTAAATATCCGATGGCATGTTCTTTATCTACGAATCTAGCGTACTCTGCCCACGACTGCCCGGTTCATTAGGGGCCTAATGATGATTTAACTTCTTACCACCGCTAATCCTTTGGCACGGCTTTCGAATTTGGCCCAAAGGCAGGCGCGTCATTAAGCCAGCGCACGGCATATGAAAAATGAAAGTCGAATAAACGAACCGCCTGGCAAGTCGTCCCGGGACTCACACCCACGCAATCAGGGCCCGGAATATCCACATCGCCTGGGAGTTACTTCTGGCCTGGCCAAAACATTGATTTCCCAAGACTTTTCAGGCACACAAAATTAATTACCTAACCCAAAAACGCAGCCCACAAGGCAACAAAACACAGAACATAAAATAAAATGGGAGAAAAGCCAGAACACGAAAGACGTAAAAATTATGTAAGAACAGAATTGCCGAGAAAGGGAGGCTCACTCTCGTTTTTCCAGCTACTCGATGCTGATAGATTTTCCCTCTCGATTTTCCGGCTCACTTTGATTTGGCTCCGTTTTTCTGCTGACTCATTTGGGCATGACAACGGCCAAAATGAATGATATCGAAAATCGAAATCAATAAATGAAATTGGTCAAATCAATTTGGCAACAATTGCACTTTTGTGAATGGGGCCCACAGAAAAAGAAGGAAACTGGAGCACAAAATTTGATTAAAGTTTTCGTTTTGCCCTGCTTGTTGGTCTTGTGCCTGCCGTAAAAAAAGCAATTGGAATGGAAAATGAGCTCGGCTTGTGGATAAGGCCAAAACTGTTGCCAGAATTAAGGACGAGGAAAATCCATTCGGAATGCAACTTTCAGTTGCAGCGAAAATTGGAAACTTTTTGAGCAACTGGATTACCAAAATATATAAGTTGCCATTTATAACAAAGTGGTATAAATGCGATTTTCTGGATAACTGAGTATACATTTGCAATCACTCTTTAAAATATCATGTTAATAAAACTCATTACATCTTACGATAAAGATTTATTTAAAATATTTCTTACACAAATATTAAGAAACCAAAAAATAAAATAACGAAACACCCCAAAAAATTTCCTGCCTTTTTTTTTAAACCCAAGCTAAACTTTGCTTTAAAGATTTTTAACTTTTAAAAATGTATTTTTAATGGTAGATATAATAAAATTATTTTTTTCAAATGTTTGAGATGTTTTTACTAGGTTTTCTTGTCAAAATGAAGTGTGTTACTTACCTCCATTGCCGGATATCAGAGCGATGACAACGACGAGCATGCTGAGCATTATCAGCGTCCTTTGGCGACTGATGTTGCTGCTGTGTCGAGCGATGTTGCTGCTGCCGGTGGTGTTGCAGGTGAGTGGATTGCTGTTGGCCCTGTCGGCGGTGGATGGGCCACTTCCCGGCCGCAGTCTTATGCAATCCGTGCTGAATTGCGGTGGGTCAGAGGGCTCCAGCTCCAGCTCCAGATTCAGATTCAGCTGTAGAGGTTGTCGTTGTCGCCGGCCTTTGGATGTTGCCGACGCCGCTCGTTGCTTTAAATTCGTTCGTTGCTGCTGCTGCTGGCGCATTTCCATTTGAAAAGTTGCCATAATATTTCACTTGCGAGCCTGATGCCCGCCCCCTGCGCTGCTCTTCGGTTTTCCCTTTTTCGCGTTTTCTCCTTTTTCCTCGGAAACCTATTTGAAAATGTGTTTGCGGAATAACTGGGGGGCGTGGCTGGGGGCGGCCTGATTAGCGCCTGCCGTCATCATCATTCCGCTGCGATGCGTGAAATTGCCGCAACAACAAGCCAAAAAGGGAAATCCACTTGCGAATTTCCCGCTGGGATATTTTGGCCTTCTATAGTTTATCCTTCTGTTGGTCGCACAACTACTTTGCATTTGTTCTGCTCGACAGAGGCTGACAAATCGCCGCCATTTTTCCAGCGATTTATATTCTATTTAATTTCGGCTCGAACACAATTTCACTTCATCTTCATTAGCCGATTGCCGTTCGTTCAGGATTGCAGGATGCCGGGATTCTGTTGCCTGCGGATGAGAAGGCCAACAAAACAGTTTCGGGGCGTTAAAAATGTTTGGAATTTCATTAAAAATTCAAACGTCAATGTCAAAATAAATGGAAATTTGTGTGTTTGTGTTGGGTCCTCGCTCGGCACGTGCTGTTGTCCCTGCCACAAAAACACCCACCCAAAAAGCGCCCAACACCCCGCCCTTCCACCTGAAACCGGGACTTATATTCTTTTTCTATATGTACTACATTATCTGGCGGCGCGTGGCTCGCCCGTCTTCTTGGATTGCCCCTGTTTGCTTTATGAATGTGTTTCTGTAACTGGCGACAACAGTTTTCCCTCCTATTTTCTTTGAGAATCCAAGACATTTCTGAGGATAAAGCAGAAATTCGCGCTGCGCTGGCAATATCGTAATGTGATTTTTATTAAAGGCAACAAATAATAAATTAAATGCGCCAAAGACCGAATTTTGGAATTTCCAATATAACGAAAAAGGAACTCTGCTTTTTAATTCGGGGTGTGTGGAAGGAAAAGTAAATAAACAAAACATTTCTTACACATACTTAATTACACGAATTTGGTTGAAAATATGCTAAAGGAATCGACTGGGATTTTTCATATATTTCCTAGACCGGTAATCCTTAAAAACTTTATATTTTACCTTTTTAATTTTTATTTATTTATAAGAAATACAAATAATATCTACGAACTTCAGCTTTGTATAAAATAAATAACCGCTGATAAATCCCATTAAAAGTTCAGGTCGCAATAATTTAAGACCCTCCAGAAACTTTCTCTATAAATCCTTTCCCATCTCGAGATCGGGAGGCGAGAATGAAAAACAGTGGGACGCCCACTAGCTAATTTGGAGATAACTTTTCACTCGATTCGGCATTTGTTTGGGGACCCTGGAGAGCACTTGCATTCCATTTTCCGAAAAACTTTTCACTAATGCCTCCCAGCGCTGATCGTATTATGTCTATTTACAACTTTCATTATTCATTTTTGCAACAAATGAACGTGGAGACACGAGTGCTGAAAACAGGACTGGAACAATGGAGGAGGAGATATACAAAGTGCCTGACAGAATCCAAAATAATGGGGCACAAAGCGTTAAACAAAAGGCGAAAAAAGTAGCGCTGGAGAATGAAACAAAACCCAGACTCGTCACAGTGTAAGTTACAGCAAAAGTTTCATTTAAAACTGTCGAGCTGAGTCGCCGAAAGTTTTCAACCTACCCCCCTGGCACTTTGAAAGTTGAGAAAAAATGTGTCCTCCATGGGGCGGCGTTGGGAAATTCCGGGAAACGGGGAGGGAAAAGTCATCAAGTGCAATGTCAGAGCTTGACAAAATATGCAGCATAGCAGCGACCAGTTCAGAGTGTCAATGCGTGGCAAATCCGAGAGGGAAATGTGCCACAAAACTTTCGCCGGCCAACAATGAACGATGGCGAGGAAAACTGTCGAAAAGTGGCATAGGAAAAGCTTCAAGGTGATGCCTGCGCCTGCCGTAATTTTTCCTTTTCTCAAGCATTTTTCTGTGGCTCCTGTCGGTGGTTAGTTTTAATTAGTGCCAAGGTCCGTCGTGGGTTAAGCACGTCACGCTGATGGCCGGGCATTAAGTTGTAAGTGCCAGGGCGTGACCGGCTAACCACGCCGCCTTCCTGCCAACCTACCATCCTCTACCACCCACTGGACCACCCATCGAAAGCCCACCTGAACGCAAGTCCAAGTCCATGCATAATTAAAGACCGACGTCTCATTATAATTTCCATTAAAAAGTGGGTATCCACCCATGCAACACCCCACTCCAGGGATAAGTTAATCCCCTACAGAGGAAAAAAGATCGATTTCCTATTAATATATTTACGAGTATATAAAATATTATCAAAAATAAATCCCTATTAATATATTTATATAAAATATTATCAAAAGGGAACCGTTTTTGACCCAACGTTACTTTATTATCTGTGTTAAATTAAATATGGATCATTCATAAATTATATAACATCTCTAACATTTTAAAAAATATTTGTAGTATATTGAATATCTTAATTTTGTATAATATCTTCAACAAATTATAAAAAATCTCACAACTTTTTTTCCCTGCTATACCATTTTATTTTTGAGTGATGTATATGGAAGTGAACTTTTGATGTCTCATCAATGCAGTGACATTTAAGCGACAGCTGTCAGGTCAAACAAAAGTGGAACACGCCTGCAGGACCTCCCATCACGGCGATTAATCAAATATGCATGACCAGAGTAATTATGTTTGATTAACACCCATACATATATTTTTGCTTTAATTATGTCTTCTCTCTGGTTCAATTGTGTGCGATTCCCGTTTTGTTATTTTTTTCACAGAATAATTTGCTCCTTTTGTTTGCTTTTGATTTCCTGCTATTTGTCAAACATTTGCATAATATTTCATTCATTCAAAATTGTACGCGCAAAGAGTTCGAGCGGCGCACAAAAGGGTATTCATAAAAATTGAAATTAAATAAATATGTCAATGCCAAAACAAACACAATGAATGTATTGTGCTGCACTTGCATCAAATATTCAAGTTTTTTGTGACAATTTAAAAATACAACAAATTAATAAATAGGTAAGCTGATTAAATGGAAAATATGAGCAGAAGAGCAATTTGGGTCACAGGGGCAGAAGCTGGAATTAATCAGCTTAAATTACTTAAATTACTGTTTAAACCAGTAGTCATAAAATATGGAAGCGTTCAAAATGTTTATTATTTTTTGTAATCTTTTAAAGATGTATTGAGCCAAAAAAAAGTTTTAAATAAAGGTCTCACACTAAAACAAGAGAGAACGTTATAGTCGGGTGCCCCGACTATCAGATACCCGTTACTCAGGTAAAGGGAGTGCGAGGGAGATGGAGATATAGATTGAAAACTTTGATCACGCATAACTTTTTAACGAATGGTCCGATTTGAAAAATTTCTTCTACATTTCGATAGGTATTGATAAACACAATAAAACTGCATTTTTACTTTTCCAAAATATTAAAGTTTTTAAAATCGTATATAAGCGATTGTGGGCGTTAGAGGGGGCGTGGCACCATTTTGAAACAAACTTGCGCTGCGTAGGAACTCCTAAAATCTGCATGCAAAATGCCAATCTTCTAGCTTTCATAGTTTCCGAGATCTCAGCGTTCATACAGACAGACAGACGGACAGACGGACAGACAGACGGACAGACGGACATGGCTAGATCGACTCGGCTAGTGATCCTGATCAAGAATATATATACTTTATGGGGTCGGAAACGCTTCCTTCTCCCTGTTACATACTTTTGCACGAATACAATATACCCTTTTACTCTACGAGTAACGGGTATAATTATGAATAAACACATTTTCTATGCAGTACCTATCTTAAAAAGTAATTTCCGTTACGCTTTATCAAAGTACAAGCTCAACAAAAACCACTGAGTAAATAAAAACAACCTTGAACATATTTTTGAATTTATTTACTCATTGGATTTATTTATTTTTATAAAGTTTAAAACCGCTCATCCAACATTAAATGCCTTTTTGGGACGCCCTACTTTACTTTTTATCATCCCGCATTTGAGTTGCCCACCGCACAAACAATACATATTCCTATATATAGAATACTCGCATGTTAAAAAAGGCTTATGAATTTTTTGGGCGACTTAAGCTGATTTGGGGCAGACAATGTTTAAGGGAAGTCGAGGCAATGAAAAAGGTTAAGTACAATAAAAATAATTTATTTATTTGGGCAACTTTTTGGAGCACAAAGTTCAATTTCCCAGCCATAAGAAATGACCTTGCTAAAGCATGAGGTAAATAAAATTTTGCTTTATTTTCTGAGAAGTGTTTTGCAAAAAAAAGTAGCAATTTTACCTGTCAGAAAATCTTAGTTACCTTTTCTAAGCTCAAAGGAAAGTGTCATGGGAGACTGTGGTGTCTAAGCATATTTTCTAAGGCAATTTTAGTAATGGATTCTCGTGGCATGGGTTCATGTGTTTCATGAGTAAAATAACTTCATATTCGTGTTTTAGCTGTGAAATAAATTCAAGTGCGGAAATGATGAATCCACATTAACATTTCATTACCTAATATCATTCTTAGATATGATATTCAGGTTATACTTTAACGTGTGCTTAGTATTCCGTCACAGAGAATTTATTTATAACACCCTGTCCATTATTGATTCTGATTAGCAGCAACCTGTCCATCATGGATCCTGATTAGCTGCTCCCACAACTTTCATTAGCATAATCAAATAATAATTGTTCCTCAATCCTTCTGCCACAACTGTCAATAAGTTGATTGGGCCTGTGTGTTTAGGCACGTGTGTACGCAGAGCACTTCTTGGCATTTTCATAATTAAATTGAGCTGACAATCCGAACCCATCCCCCGACCACCACTTTCGCTGACCAACCGCTGACCACAACAAAGTGAAAAAGGGAAAATAAAACAATGAGCCTGGCACTTGCCTCCTGTTGTAGCTCTTCCTCCACCGGAAAAACCACCGAACCCCCACGCACTACATAATACAAACAATGACACAATTGTGTGGGATTTTCCTACTTTTTTTGTGTTCGGGAGCATTACATGATTATCGGTGTCAGCCTGATAATAAAATAAGAAATTATCGGATAATTAGCTCAATAAAATTAATCGGGCTTACCTTTCCTGGCTGTCCGTCCTTTCGCTTTGTGTTGTGGTGGATTTTCGTTGATTTAAAGGATTTAGAATGAATTGATGTTTTTTAAAAAGTTTTGCGACTTGAGCTTTCCATGTAATTATTCACAACTTTTTATCTGCCAAAAAAGGGACTTTAATATTTGGTTTATCACAGCCCTATCCCAGCCCTTAAAATCATTTTATTTCCCCTTTTCTCATGTGTTAAATATCTCAGCCGTGTGATTCGCGTATTTAAACCATTTCTCGCCCTTTTTCCCCTTTTATGCAAATATTTCGGGCTAAGCAGAATGCGACCCTAATTTATGGGCCCCAAAGGAGATACAAAAGATAAAGAAAAAAAAAGTTCAAAAGCAAAAGTTCAGATGAGGGAAAATCGTAGCATTTTCCGCGAAATTTAAAAAGGAAAGTAAGTAAGTATTTTTCATAATTATTTCTTAAATTCTCGGTCCCCGTCAAGAGTAATATTCCTGGGCGACCTTGGTGGGCTAAACAAACTGCAAACAAAGTTGAATAACATTTTTTGTTCGTGCTCGCTGAACATATATATATTAATATTCCACAGCCGCCGTGTGGCCTTGACAGGTGAGAATTGAGTTGAAGGATCAGTTGGGGCAGGTTTCGGGTTCTAAGTTTAGTTCGGTTTCCTTTTTTGGCTTCGCTTCGTTTTCGTTTTCAGTTTCGTATTTAAATATTCAAGGATCGCTGGCACTTTCGCACTCTTTATTTAGGCTTTTCCGTTTCACTTGAGTGTTGCGTACTTGATTTTGCATCCTGGCACGCAGGTCTAGGTTATACTTTTCCGCATTTGAATTATTTTCCTTATATTTTTCACATTGCGTGCCCATATCTCACATTGGCTCATTTATTATTTACCGTTATTGCACCATGGACAACTTTTACTTTCGACTACCGCACCCGTGTCCGTGTGAGCTGGCCCACATGTGCGTGTGTGAGTGGCGTATTGAGGTTGTCCTCCGAACAGGACCTTCCACACCGCTTTTCACCGTGAGAACGAACCGAACGATACGACTGCACTGAATACACTGAAAGCCGCACGAATGGCGTCGGCTTGAAAAGCCAGGCGACCAGCCAAAGCTCCCATTTTCCTCTTCCCCTTTTTGGCAAGAGAGCGCGAGCTTTTCCGCCTGGCACAGTGGGACAAAACGGATGCATCCTGTCTGCTTGCTTCCAGTCGGTTTCTCCGCTCTCGGCTGGCACTTTCGAACTTCCCCAAACAACTGGGTTCTCTTCCATCTGGCGCTCTCTTAAGGGCAGCATTCTGCGGCCATTTGTTGACATCCTTACAATGCCACATAGCTCTTCGGCCTGCTTTAAAGAATTCGGTCTATTTTCAGCACTTTAAAAGGGTTGTGAAAATGATTTTCACTAAAAATAGGAAACAGTTCAAAATATATTTCAAGCTGTAATCTTGTATTCCTTTAATTTTCGGTTGACTTGATTATCTTTTTGACTAAAAAGTAGAAATCCCCCTCTTAAATAAAAAAAACAACAAATCAGATAACTGTTACCTGCGACCTTTTATGACTTTTAAGACAATGACAATTTTTTAGAGAAAGGTTTGTCAGTTGTAACATAAAGCCAAAAACCCACAAACTTTTTCAAATGTCAACGGTTTTTCCTAGAAATGTTTTTAAGCACATTTAATTTCGACAAATGGCAGGATAAATTTAAAGTAAAAAGTGCCTTGGGAGCATCCAATAATTCTGCTTCGAAGGTTTATTAGGTTATATATTAGTTCCTTTTCAATACAGTTCGGGAGAAAATTCTTCAAATTTTAGACAATTCTCAAAACCGTTTATTTTAATTCTCAAAACCTGGCAGCACTATTCTGGAAAGAGTTGAAAGGTGGGAGGACACTGGATAAGGCTGGGAGGGCGATCAAATAGGCAGCTCCAGACACTCGGCCTTCTTAAGCACTTAGTGCACATTAAGTGCCAGGGATTTGGATTGTTTGCTGCCCAGCCGCTTGGCCTCATGCCCAATCCATTGCGCTTCCTTTTCAGCTGCTCCTTAGTGCGCTTCAAAGTTAACTGACACTTACACTTGCACTTGTGCAAAATCAAATGCATTCGCCTTGGCTTCGGATTTGGATTCCTTTTTTGTTCGAGCAACTACACATTTTCAAGAGGCTGGAAAAGCGCTTTTCCAGTTAACGGGCATTAAGAGATTGGCATTAAACCATTTAAGGAGTGGTTGCAGAGGAGACGATTAATGGTACATGATTTAAGTAGAGTTGAGTCTGTTTTGGCATTATTAAGAACAATCTATAAAAACGAAAATTGTTTAAAAATGAAATATTAAATCCCCACACCCATTTAAACACATGCACTTCAGTAAGCCGCATTTTATTAACCAATCCTAGTTCTCGCAGGTCTCTTTTCCTCTTTCAGCACTTGTACATAAGTCGAATCTTGGTCCAATCGCCCTCGGAAGGTCCCCGCACCTGACCCATCTCCCTTTCCACAGCCTTGCCTTCGATTAAGGCGCGAATCGTTGGCTTTGAGGGATCCTTGGCGAAGGCGTTTTTCGAATAGTGCATAACGCTCTCGTAATCATAGGGGACATTAAAGGTGGTCGTCTGATCCATGGCCATAAACTGCGACCAGTATTTCCTGGGTATATTGTCGTAGTCGATCTGCACGTACTCATCTCGATCGGGACGACTTTGCTCGTGGAAAAGTCCCAGCAAATGGAGGGTTTCGTGTTGGATAACAGCAGGCATGGTGAGGCATTTCTCATTTAGGACCACTTCGTGGGGACCAAAGGATAGGGGTTGATAGCCCACTCGGGTTCCGCACATATTGGGCGATTTCTTGAAGGACACATATCGTTTGCCTGAGGGAGGCGATCCTTCGATCTCCTCGAACTGCACGCAGGTTTGTTCACCGAAACTAGTCATTGCTGTCCTCACATTAGCCACCTCCTGTTCACTGTAGTCCCCGGATATTCGGTAGTATATCTTGTTTCCAGGCCAACGTTGCAGCGGTGACGTCAATGCATTTCGGGTCTTGGCCTCCGCCTGCTCATCATCTACATGGATCTCGTTGTAGTAGTTCTCGTAGGACTCGATCCCTTCGGAAGCCACCAGGATGGGCCCGAAATACACCGCCAAAAGTAGAAACCGAACGGTTTGAAGGAACATTTCTTTAGTTTATGACCCAACTTGAAATGTACAGCCGCTTTTATAGTCTTTTAATTAAAATATTTATCAGTTTTATTTCTGTCTCGAAAATATTCTTTAAGTTAAGGTTTTACATACATACATACAGACAATTCAAAGACAGGCAAACACTCACTCTTCAGCACATACCTTAAACACTGTGCAACAAAAAGGGGTTTATTATGCATAACATTTTTCAGATTTGGAAAGTAACTTTTTTATTTTGCGATAGAATTAGCTATAAGTTATTTGCCACAAAAGGAAGTAGAAACGAAATGTTATTTGTAGGAGCTATTTTCATTTTCTAAAGAAGGAGTTCGCCAAAGACATCTTTTAAAAAATAAACTAATCTTTATCGAAATCATTAATAAATTGGGTAACATTTTGTTGCACAGTGTAATTAGCCAAACATATTTCCAGATTAAAGCCTGCTCTCCATGAACCACCGTCGTTTTCATGGAGCCAAGTTCGACTTTATCCGCTCAAAGACTTATATGGCTATGTTGCAATTTCGCATTTGCATTGCTTAGCATAGATACAATAATTATACGTTTGCATTTGCTTAATGTACACACACATTGGTGGCTAGAAAAGTGTTAATGGCTCTGATTTATTAAATATTTTTTACATCTTTTAAATATGATTATTCAGCTGTTCTAGAGCTTAAATAGGCGTGTTATGATTAACTAATAAGCCATCAATTTAATTTAGATTAGCATGATAAAATAGTGTGATGCACAAAAAACATTTTCTAACTAACCCAATCCTTGATTTTGCCTTCATTTAATGTAAAATCATTAAATATTTTAATTGTACAATTGTACAATGAATGTTATTCCTGATCATTTTTAGCAATTTATTTTTCTAGCCCCCAGTGTATTTTGCCAAGCATTTCGATGCTTCTGCCGTACTTAAAATCCTCTGATAAGCAAACTATGCACATATTCCGAGGCCCCATTCCTGGGATCCGAATACGCTAATATATACACATATGCATACGTTGATATCGTATATTGGGGTCTTGCATTTGGGTTATTTAAGTAAGTGTTAAGCTGCTTTGGGTTTAGTATGTTTAGTTCCAGGTATAAACCAATAGTTGATTATTGTTGTTAATTACAGTTTGTATATTTCCAAAACTTCGTTTTCTCGTTTATAAACAAACGCATCACTTAGACGTGAGTTGTGGGTGGTGGCCGGTTTTTTTTTGTTTTTTCATTGTTTTTTTTAGGTATTCTGGTTTTTGGATTTTCCGTGGCTTGGGCGTGATTGCAGCAGCGTTGAGGAGTCACCGGCTATGTGCCAGATAATTAAAATTAAGCCACACAATCGCGCCCAGGCTTTTGGTCATATTTATAGTACAAGTACATATAATATTATTTTAATCATAGGTCATACAAAATAGAGTAGCAAGAACACATAATTAAAAAAGAAAGTTTCAACACATTTCGCAAGCAAAATTGAAAGACAGTAAATCATCTCTTCTAGAACTTTTCATTGCGTTGCTTCGGTTGTCGGCCTGGTTTTCTTTTATTGGCTGCTGTTTCGTTATCGTTGTCAGTGGTAGTTGTCGTCCTGATCCGTCGATTCAGGCACTTCGCTTGCTAACATCACAAATCGGTTTCCAGTCGTTAGTAACGATCTCGTCCATTTTCCATTTTCACTTTTCTTCATTCAGCATAGTTTCGAACTCTCTCTCCATCTCTAAATGTACAGTAAATAGACGGTAGTCATAATAGTAGTAGTATTTAATGGATGTTTTCTGTGTGGATGGCGGGCGGGCAGGCGGTTGATCGATAGCTCCATCGAGTGATTGAGTGAATTGAGGGTTTGACTCTCGTCCAGTCCTCGTCCCGATCCTCGTCTCTAGTGCAGCTCGATGAACTCGTACAGAGTGGCTGGCACGGTTCCCTCGTAGCGGATGTCATGCTTCTTGATCGTCCTTGCGGCCAAGCACGCCAGCGTCGTGTACTTCATCGGGTCGATGATCTTATGCATGGGCGTGGGGGCCAGTAGACTCTCAAACGTCTCGCCAGCATAGTTTTTGGTGTCCTGAAAATTGAAAGCATCGTTAGTAAAGCCTACGGTGCTTCAATCGATACCATACTCACCAAATGCGCTCCGCCCTCGAGCAGAATGTGCGACAGGGGCTCCACGTAGGGCTGCATGGTGGCCAGGTGGAGCGGTGTGTTGCCCGACTCGTCGATGGCATTCGGATCCGCTCCCACCTCCAGCAGGGCCTTCGCCAGCGTCACCGAGGGGAACTGGCAGGAGGGATAGCGGCCGGCCAGCGTGCCCTCCCGATAGCAGGCGTAGTGCAGGGCGGTCCGGTCGAACCGGACGCGCACCTTCAAGCGATTCAGCCGGTACAGGGCTCCCATCACCTGGCGACGCATCTCCGCATTGAGGGCGTCTGTGTCCAGCAGCGAGCTCAGCAGACAGCCTATGTGAATGGCACTTATCATGGTGCGACTCAGGGCGTTGGGATCGTGGTTACAGTCGTGCTGATGCGCCGAAAGCAGCGTCGTCGAGGAGGAGGAGGAGGAAGAGGCGGACGAGGATGAGGATGAGGAGGCCGAGCAGGAGGGCGATTTGTCAGCTGCCGGCAGCTGCTTCTGCGGTTGCTGCTGGTCCTTCTGCTGCTCCAAAGTGAAGGCCTGACCTCGCTCCACCTCCTTGACAGCCTTATAGAAGATGGTCAGCATGCCGTCCGCCTCGATTGGCGGAACCACGCGTCCTCTCGGCAGCAAGCGACCCGCCTCCACCAGCATAAAGCTGAAGAGCTCGGCGAAGGACAGCAGCGAGGATTGCGTCATGGGGCTGAGAGGCTGCAGGATCTTCTGCTGCATGGTCAGGGCATAGGACCAGAGTTCGATGCAGCGGTCGAAGCGACCTGCGTCCGCATAGTGGGCACCCCTGGAAAAAGAATTGAGATTTATTTAGAAAGCTTTTGAGAAAGTGCGGATTTTAAAACCCACCTGAATCGGATGTAGTAGCTGGTGTCCGGATGCGTGGGTCCCAAAATGCGCTGCCTAATGACCAGAGCCTGCATTCGCATCTCGTCGGGATCCAGCACCATCTCCTCCAGCTCCTCCACGCTCGTTACCTCGCAGACCATCTCATAGGCCGGCACTGGCTCCTGAACCTTCTTCTCCAGCGGCGGCTCTATCGCACGTTCCTCCAGCGCTCGACGCCACAGGCTGAGTGCTGCAGCCATGTCCCTCTTCCTGTCCACATATGTGGCCCCCAGCAGCTCCAGAGCGTGAATCCTCGACTCCCTGCTCACGCAGGGCAGTGTGATCAGGTGCTCGACAATGGGCATGTGACCGGTGACACTGGCCGCCAGCAGCGGAGTCATTCCGTAGTAGTCCACGTCCATGGTGGCGCCGTGCTTGAGCAGCAGCTGGAGGATCTGCAGGGAGCCCGACTCGGCGCAGTCGTGCAGCGCCGTGTTCCCCTTCACACTGCAGCGGTTGACATCCGCGTTCAGCGAGAGCAGATACTGGGCGATGCGGAAGTGGCCCTTGTAGCAGGCGATCATCAGGCAGGTGTGGCCGTGTCGGTTCGCCACTTCAAAGTCTGCGGAACAAGACAACACAATTAGCACAGCTCTAAAGAGTGAAACTTAAAATAGGGCAACTTTTAAACCTGTTCCAGTTATTATTTTTATAATTCACAGAGAAGCAAGAATATATTCTTGGAAAAAAAGATACAAAAAGTTATACAAATACAAGATTTTGAGAAATATTTAATATCAGTTAATATTATAGAAATATTATACCACTTGCATTTGATTTTTTAGTAGATTTTTTGGTAAATAAAAAATAACATATAGAACATTTATCACCTTTCTTAGCAAATAAGAACTCTGGAACCCAGAGTCACGATCCAAAATCTCCGATTTTTCAGTTATTATATTAATAATTCACAAATAAGCAAATATATATTTTTGGAAAAAAGGTACAAAGTGATATGTAAACAAGATTTTCAGAAATATTTAATATCAGTTAATATTATAGATTTATTTTTATAAAATGCATTTGAGCTTTGAGTAGATTATACTGGTAAATAAAAATTAATATATGGAACGTTTATCACCTTTCTTGGCAAATAAGAGCTCTGGAACCGAGGAGAGTCACGATCCGAAAACTCTCATTTATAAGAATATCACATTACTCACCCGCCCCGTGGTGCACGAGATATTTGACGATCTCGTAGTGTCCGTCGAAGCAGGCGGCTCTCAGCGGTGTCGAATTCGTCCTCGTGGTGCTGTTGACATTCGCCCCCCGGCGGACGAGCATCTTGACGATGCCCAGGTGGCCGGCGGCCGCTGCGCACCACAGCGGAGGGGCATCCTCGATGGGCTCTCCGTCGAAACTGACCGACCCCACCTGCTCCACGTTGGCCCGACACTTTGTCAATAAATATTCTACAATGTCGTAGTGTCCATTTCGGCAGGAGATGACCAGCGGGGTGGCTCCGTTCACTTTCGCCGAGATCAGGCTGCCCACTTCGCCGGAGCTTTTGTTGTACAGAGTGGCCTGAAATCAAAAAAAAAACGTAGAAACATTGAGTATCTGGGTGAGCTTTGCACTTAAATGGGGCATATTGAATAATGGAAATTATGACGACTTCGTTATCAGAAAATCCATTTATTTGCGCCGGGCAAAAAACACAGACTAAAGTGCAGTATGCATTGCAAGTGGTTAAAGTCATTTTCTTTCATATTTTTGTTTACCGTGAAAACGTATCGATGTGATTCATTTTCAACAGAAATATTTTTTCCAGTTTGAAAGCCATTCTGAAATTCCGTTATATGTAATTTATAAATACTTAATTATAAACAATTGATAAGACGTATGAATGTCTCTACATCGATTTTTCCGATTCTGATACTGATCTAAATCACACAAAAATTCCAATTAGAAGCACTTTTTATTTAATCAATAAAAAATACCGATAATAATTTATAACTGCTTTCAAACAAAATGATGACGAACAAAGCGAATTGCTGGCAGAGCGTGAAAATAACTCAGGTGGTCTGAGCTCGAGCGATAACAAATGGGTGGGGAGGCACGAGTGGCGAGAGAGGAAATCGAAGAGATATAGACAGAAGTCAGCTGGGGAATATCATGTCTCTCTTTTCCGTTGCCCCCAGCACGCTGATGATGATTTTTATTGTCTCGCAGCCGCTTGCGTCCCATGCCAATTTGAAATTGAAATTCATTTATGTCAAACGTGTTTCATTTTCGCTTTATAGTATGCTAATTATGTTGTTTGCCAGCGCGTGCAAGGGTGGCGGAAGGGGGGAGGGCCTGGTGGGAGGCGATGGGGTGGGGCTGGTCGCCAGATCGGCTGCGGAGAATAGATTAAAGCTACAGAGGCATCAACAACACATTTCCATTTTATTTTTCTAAGCAAATTCAAATCATTTCCATATTACTACACAGAAAAACAATATTATATTTAATACTTTAAACATTTAATTTCAAAGTAATCCTTTTATTTATTAGTA